GCCAGCCTAAGTGACCTCAGCCGCTCCTTATATGACTTCCCCTCCAGATCCTTCACCATCTTCCTGGCCCTTCTTTGGACATTCTCTAATAATACTACAAGTGCCATGCTTCAAAAAGTCTGTCTCATATCCAGACAAAGAACACAAGCTAATTATGTAGAAAACCCCAAGGACCCTGGGATCACCTCACTAACATAAAAGCTAATAATAACAATTTTTTAAAAAACCTTTGTTAAAATATATTAAAAGCTAGGCATTTGACAGAGATGGAACTGAAAGGTAAAGAAAAGGTCTTTTGAGGAATTAGGCTATCGGGGAAAAAAAAGGTTGTAGCAATATTCAACACAAAAGTGATAGAGCAGTTTTCAAAGTAGGCTAGTTCTTTTTTTAAAAGAACAGAGCCTCCCATTAGTTCTAAACTGAGAATACAATAAAAGGTACTTTAGCACAGATGAGTAAATTCCAAGTAATGACTGAAGGATGTGTGTGTTCAACTCTAAAGATCCAGGATGATACTGTTGGACTAAGAAGTGTAATGGGGAGTAAATTTTGGAGGGCAGCCATGGTACTAGAAAGATGGTGCCAAATGAGCTGTTTCCCAAAGTACAACTTTGTGGAAACAGCAAAAACTCTGATTTTCACATCAGGAATATCTGAGCTGTAAGACTGTAGGTGGAAAAATGTACTGCAAATGATTATTTATTGTTCCCTGTAGTACAAGAAGGGGAGGGACAACAAATTTTTTAAAAAGTGCTTTTTCATATATCATAATTTGCCTTGCCATAGAGCCTTTCAAAGGTCAGGCTGATAAACTAAAAATGAAGTAAGGTACATTCACACAGGGTAAGAGTATTAAATGTGATGAAATGAATGTAAGCTCTAAAGCTGGAAGTTTGCAAATTGTAAACCTCTGAGAAAATATCAAGAATCCATCTGTACCTGTACCCTGTCCTCAAGTGTTCACTGTTACTCATCCATGGGGAATGATACTTTGCTGAACTGACTTCCACATGTTGCCAAGATCATTCCCAGTTTCCTCTGAGGGTAAAAATCTGGTCCTCATCTATAAGCTCGAGGTGCTCAAAGGTAGCAAAGTTATTAACAATGTCTGCTTGTCTTGCTGCAGCACTGGATTGAAAGTCCAGTTTTCCTAAATAATAATGGGAGTAGGTTTGCTCACAGAAAAAAATCTCAGAAGCCACATGAAGGGAGCATTGCCTAGACCAACAGAACATTTGGTAGAAATAATGGTGGCAGTGTAAAACCATCTGTAGACAGCTGCCTGTAAAGATGTGAAAAACTACAAAGAAAAAAAACAAAGCTGCAAAGTTTTTGATGTGTATAATTCTTCAAATCATAATTCTGTGTAAAGTTCATTATTACTAGGGGTTCATTTCTGACCACCAGTATTAAATTTTCACAGATTTTGAAGAAGTCAGGGAATTGGTGGCAATATTTCATTTAATTTTGCTCTCTATGAAGACAGTAACAAAGCTCCTATTGGTTTTAGCTGGAGGAAACATAACCCAGTGATGCTGTTGTAGTAAGCCTGTAGTCCTACTTAATTATAAATGTAATGCTATAACTTTTAACTGTGCAGTCCTAATAATGCAACTTTTTTTAAGGAATTTCTTTCATGATTTTTTTAATTAGGGTCAAATATTTTTGTATAAATAGATATCTTGTTCACATCCCATATATATATATATATATACTGAGCTCACAATTAATGTCACAACTCCACTGTCTTTCCCATAAGAACAGACTGTTGCAAGCACAGATTTGTATTTAATTGCAGCATTAAGTACTGTCTGTTAGAGAACTTTCAATGCAAACATTCCACAAAATGAAAAATGCAAACTAGAAAATTACTGAGGGAAAGTAACTTCTATAACTGGTTTGGGTGGATATTTTCAACTTGCTAGTAAAAATCTCTTTGCAAGTCATAAAAACCTCATTATAATTTTGAAATACATTTCATGACTATGCACCAGCTCTACTGCCTGTGCAGTTCTCAATGCTTTAACAGTCTTAGTTACTGGAATTGCTCAAAGACATCAGAAATAGAAATGCTCTGTTCCTTGCTGGAATTTCAGTTTATCAGCCAAGCAGAACTACTGCTTTCTCCAGGCAAGTTTTTGAAAAGACATTATACCGTGTCTACACCCTGTCTGTCAATACATGATGAAGTTGTCATTCTAAAATAGTTTCTTGTACACTGGAATGGCTCTTTCTTGCATACAGTGCAACCAAACATCCGTGCTGCCAGAAACTGGGAGTAGTAACTAAAAGAATACAAACAGCTGTCTTTACCATGCAGTCATCCCTGATAAATGACTGAGGTACTGGATGAAGAAATGTTATTTTTACCTATTTGTCAAGGTCATGCCCTAGTTTATTACACATTTGGATTTCCAGAGGAGCTGAGGTTTGTTTTCATCCCAAGGTTGATGAAAAGATGAGTAATGGGTTGTAGTAACATGACTGTGGATATCACAGGCTACTTTTTCATGTATACTTCAGGCCATTGCAACCTTCCACACTTGACAGTCTGCGATGATCTGCAGCCCTATGTGAGACCTTCAGGCTCCTCTTCCAAAATTTGAAATACTTTGAAAGGGACTCCTGAGATACTGTCAGAGCTGCAACCTGTGTAACTCACCCAGGAATAAAATGAGGCTTGGGATGGAATTGAAACAGTCTGAAGTGTATCTGCATGATTCAGATCTCTTGCTTCAGGTGAGCAGGTATGACTGCAATGCAGGACAGGGTCATGAAATGTTCTCTGCTCAGGCTCCAAAAGAGACAGAGCTGGGATAGATGGTGCTGTACTGAACAGTTCCCTCCCCCTAGGGCTAAATGCACTGTTCCTTTTTTCACAGCCATGCTGTTTCTGGTTCTGGAGGCAACCAAGTCATCCTTGGCTGCAGGCTACGTACACAGTGCATTATCATGTCATTTAGACACTAAATGAAGCGGTTGAAACCAGGTGCCTCCCTTCTCCTTAATATTTACTTGGAGCTACCTACAATCCAGTCTGCAAATACAAATAGCAAGTTACTCTGTTTAGTATCTAACCCCAATATTTCCAGCAGGAGTCTGGGAAACTCCTCATTATCTTCACACCCACATTTCTTCATTTTTGATTAGAACTAAATATTAATTTTTTCCTTCCATGTAGTAGTAGCAGACCCACCCCTCCCTCTGTTTATGTGCAGTACTAAATGGCATTGTGCAGGTACTTTCTGCAAAACTACAGGGAACATGGGTGCAAATCTCAGCCTATGCACAAGCAGAAGGTGGCTTGGCAAGTTAAGCAGAGCATTACCTTTCATTTGAATGTATTCTTAATTCCATACTATAGTATGCCTTCTTAGCCTCACAGAGCTCTGGTTTCACAAGCACAGAAAAATGCCTTGTGGGGAGGAACCATGCATTTTATTTATTAGGTATGTCCAATGCAAAAAAACCTACAACTTTATGCAAATATCAACCAAGTCCTGGAAGCAGCCAGAAATCAGAGATTATTATTTTCATGGTTATAGAAATAGGAAAGAGTTAAAAAAGAGGCACTGTAGCCAACAGTTTGGGAGGTACAGCAGGTTATCTGCTTTAATTAAGAAGATTTGTTACAATGAGAACAACAGTGCAGTAAAGAAGCAGACCTCTGATCTAACATAATAGTCTCTCCCTTATTTTTACCTGAAAATGTTATGAATGACTTCCAGAAATGTCCCAGGCTTAGCAGTTTCTGACTGCATCTAGAGATCTGTTTCCCATTCTGAACATCACGGGGGCCAATAGAGAAGTGACACCCTCCTTTGGAGATCCCAGAGGAGCCTGTTCCAACACAGAGTGGACAAAGAACCATTTTGCCCTTCTAATTCAAAGTCACAGGTGTTGCCTGAGTTGATTTTAAAAAGAAAAAAAAAATCAGTAATCACTGTTCTAACGATGAGACCAAAAATTTAAAAAAGTGAAGGGTAGCCACCCCATTTTAAGGGAAGGTAAGTTAATCCTTTTAATGTCTGTTCTACCATGCAACCCTCATGCAAACCTTCTAAACTCCGGCTGGGCACAGGAAGGCAGACACAACACTGTGCCCTGCATCTGAGTCTTCAGGCACGCGCTTCTGCATTCACCACACTTAATATGCCCTGCCCTTGCAAGTAAAATAAACCTGCATTATCTGCCTGTCACATTCCCACTGCTCTGATCAGACCAGGCACCAAGTTGTAGGTGTTGTGATATAGTTGTAGGGGACTGTGCAGCTGATTTGCTCCGAATCACACTAGCACAGAGCAGTCACCAACAGTTTTGCAGTTTACAGACACACAATACAGAAGAGGCAACTTCTGAAACAAAAGCTACACAGCTAAACAAAGTTCTCTTATTTAAAGGGAAAACTTAAAAACACTACAGAAAGTCTAACAGAAAGTTTTCTACCCTGTGAGATACAGAAACAGTAACTCCAAATCCCCAGTTTTGTGACGGACAGAACTGTGGCACTGGAATCAATGTAATTCTGACTTAAGCCTCCTAAAGGTTTCCCAGCTTGCCCCCCTTCTCCCACAGTCTCTCAGCTCAGGACCATATCCTAAATGTTTTCTTGACTTCCAAGTTGAAGGTACATCACACAACACACCAGAATAATTTTTTTTTTTAAGAAATTATGCCTTTAAAAGCTTTCAAATACTTTTAGTGTTCCATTCCTGCAGGAGAGGAGATTGTTTACCAGCACAATGCTCTGAAAGATTTTTGTAAGGCTGACAAGAAACTGGAATGCACTCCAGCAAAGAGCTTCAAAACTACTAAGTGTTTCTATCTTCACTTCTCATTGGAAAGCTCATTCATGACAGTTAAGTACTCAGGTGAATCAAGTCCAAATACTCAGGTGAATCAAGTCCATAATGAGGAAATGCTCCGAGTCACCCGAGAACTTTAATTTCAGTGGATAAAGGAGATGCTAACTAATGACTGTCTAACATAGTTCTGTATCATCCAGTGGTGTGTGATGCTTTATTTAATGTGAGAACATGCAACAAGTAATACAGCACCATATAATTTCTGGAGATCACAGTTCTGATGTTTCTTGTTGCTGCATTTTGCATTCTAAAACTTGTCTGGACCATGTCAAGTCACACACAAGTTTAATTCCCTCTTCCCTACCCCTTCAGCCTTTAACAAGTATTACTATGATTTTGTTTTCATTAAAAGCCTCAACAGTATTTATATGTAGCATTCTCCTTCAGCACAGGAGAATGCAGAGTGAAATCAAGCAGCAGATGACTGTTCACCACAAAATGAGTAATCATTTATGTTCCAAACTAAAATAAATGTAACAGAAAACCAGAAAGCATAATGTTCTAATGTCTTCATTTAGTAACTTACCTTTTTCGTTTATTTCTTTTAAACAAGGATTTTCTAAAAACATTTTGAACCTTACTCATTTTAGTTTTGTTTTCCTTGGAAAGCCTGAAGTGAAACATCTATCCTTTAACCCTGATGTCTTCACTACTTGCCTTTTCCAGTGGCACAGAAATACTCCTTCACTCCTTACACTCCTTCATTACATATTCTGGTTAAACCACACAGCTTTTCAAAACAGTCTCGACTATAATGAGCTGTGGCTCTGGATTTACACTCCCCATCACCATCACTTACAGTTACCGATGAACAATTTCACTTCTAAGCACACACATTTTCCCAACAGCTGAACTGCTCCACAGTTCTCTGTGTTTTTCTTATTATAACTAGCTCCTTCATTTCAATGGCATCACAGTTGAGCTCAAGTCTGAAATGTAATGCTCCAGCTAGTGCTTCTTTTTACTCAAGTAATTACAGAAAAAAAAGTTGACACTGACATTTACCAAAATATTTCAGAGCACAAACACCACCCGCTGAGCTGAACACGAAAATTCATGCCTGTTAGTCTTGTTTTTCTCCTCAGAGTGTGACTGATTTGAGTCATGCCTGACTTTAACAAAATTTCCAGATCTTTGCTAGAGCTACAGTTGGTAGGAAAGATGCCTAAACATGCAGCTGAATTTCTGCTCCTATGCCATTATTACTTCTCTTTGATGAAAGGATGCAGCAAGACATTCTAGACCATTTCATAAGTTTAAAACTTTATATGCTGAAGGAAAATTCTCTACTAAAACATGTGAAAGCCTGCAAGGAACTGCTTTCATTTCTTTTGTAGACACCTATGAAAATCCCAGTTTAGTCAATCTGGATGCATTTTTCTCCACAGTGTTAGCAGTGCAGGAGGACAGGTCCTTTGATACCGAAGCTAGAGCAGGAACATTTCTCTGCCTTCCAAGAGTCCCATGGTGTGATTCGGTTACTGGTCATGACCCTGTTGTTTATTGTATATGTGGATTGTAAGAATTACTGGAATTCTTATAAATCTCAATTAAATAAAAGGTAAAAGAAAAGCCCACCTGTAATCAGACACCATGTAACTGCATGTTAATGGCTTGTTCAGTGCCCTACTGGGATACCTTAGAGTAATGCTACAGCATTATACTCAATTTCAAGAGGTCAGTAGACACTTTTAAATGAATAAAATTTATATAATTACAGTTATGACTACAGCTCATGCCTTATTCACAGCAAGTAAAAAAACCACATTGGGGTTTATGTAAATATTACTAATGCATGTGCTATGAAAAAGTAACTCATGTTAATTAAAAAACACCTTAATTTCAAAAGTTTACCAGAAACAGTTACACTGAGCATTGCAATCTTTCAAAGCAGAATAGAAGTTGTTTACATGGATCCAGCAGTAATTGATATCCAGCTGCTCGGAGCTGGGCTGCTGACTGAACATATGAAAGCTGGGCTGAAATCCCCTATTTGATGGCAGCAGGAGTCATGCTGCTCTTTCCTATGAGCTGGAATTTCACCCCAGTCTTTACATTCTTTGTCGAGAATGCTGGTGGAGCAGCCAGAAGATGATGATTAGAGAGTAGCTAAGTACACTCTCAGTTCTAAAAATCCAACCTTCAAGCATCTGCAAGGTCTGGGGGAAGGAGGAGTGGGTTTATAGCACAGTTAAAAGGAGTCCCTCTAAAAATGGGCAAGTGGCCATTTCAGCAACACAGCTGATGGCAGGACACTGCACACCATTAGAAGTAAATCTGGGGTTGAGTCTTTAGTGAAGACACCATCATATTGCCCGTTAACTAGGAAGGAAGGCAGGCACAGCATGTGAACAAGTAAGCACACATATGCACACAAGGCATTCCAGGAGCTGAACAATTTCTCTGCATACATAAAAGACCTTGCTAAGAAAAAAAAAGTAGCAAAGGTTTTTAGCATTTAAATAGTTGCCTACATGAACTCGATTTCAAATCCAACTTTACACATTCTTGATAAACTGAAAGGCCTCAGCATTGAAGATGAAATGTTTCTAGCACCAGCTACTGCCTTGAAAGTGAATACTTACAAGAGATGAGTACAGGAAGACATGTTGTCTTTCACTGAGAAAGTGTTTTAAGGCAATATCCAAAATGACAATACAGCCACCATAGAAACTGCTCCAAATGATCCCTGATACTTTACAGCACCTACGCAGGTTCCACTGCTGAGGCAAGATCGGAACTAAATTGGTGCTTGTTGGAAATGTCCCAACATCTGTACATCACTAGCTGACATAAAGCAAGCAAATTTCTTCCTATAGCTCCTAAATCCCTCAGTAGCCATTTATATTAGCCACTATCACTGGCAGGGAAACTGGTGAGGAATTGCCCTCTTTCCTTATCACTAACCCAATTAAAAAGTTGCTCAATAAGGTAGCAAGTGTTTACACAATTAATGCAAATGACAGATTTCTGAACATTTCCCCAAAGGGAAACTAACTCGTCTGGCCAAATGTGCTCCCGCAGCACCCAGCTCAGGGTTGGTTTTTCTTCTTTGCTCTCAGTAAAGAGTCAATTTACTTGCATTTCCACCAAGGAGTATTTTAGGAATGGAGACAGCAATTTCTGAATATACACTATATCTATAAAAGGAAGAGGTAAGCAGTTTGTTCTCCATTTCCATAATTTTGTGGAACTCCATCATCCATTTTTAATAATAGTTATGGCACCCAGGTATGCAGCTAAACAACTGAAGAACATGAAGGATGTTATTAGAATCATTTTTGGCTAATGATAAGGAGCAGAACTGCATCGCAACCCTACTTTTTCCATGATTTAAAGGTGTGTTAAAATGTACCAAGATTTTCAGGAAATCTGTTATTTGGCTTACACAGTAAGCTATGCCTTATGCACCGTGTTCTAGACAAAGTTGTATTTTAAAATGGTGCACAAAGTTAAGAAACTTTACATGATCCCAGTGAGTAATGTGTGCTTTCATAAATACAGTAGTATACATCCTATTTACAGACGCTGGATGGAAGACTCCAGGAAGGCTGTTAGCCAGCCATCCACAGAAAGAAGGGAATGAAGATGGTGGGGAGTGTGGTGGAGGGTGCCACACCTAGGCAGACTATTGACGCTAGTCCCACAAGCACCGACGCGAGGACGCTCCTCTGGTCCCGAATAATCATCTTCACGGTCTCACAGAACTGGGGGAAAAAAAAAAAGGGCAAAAGATGAGATTGAAAGAGGAAAGCTTTGGCTGCAGAGCTGTCGATGCCCACTCTCTTGGGACAGAGCAGCCTCGCTCTCACACAGGTTCCCCGGAGGGAGGGGAAGAGCTGGACTGGCACCGCATCACCCCCAGCATCAGCCCCGGTACTGCCTGTGGCTCCGGCTAGAACCTGTAGCTTCAGAGCATTTTAGAAGCGTATTAATTGTTCTACTAATTCAGCTTCGCTTTCCTCGCCGCTTGAAGCCAGCTGAGGCCAGGCTCGCCGCCGTCCCGAGCAGCTCGGCGCCGGCGGCACAGCCCGCTGCGGGCAGAGCGGCATCAGCGGCGGCCGGGCCGGCGGGCGGGACCGGCACCCCCGCCCGGGGCCCGCGGCCGCGGCCGGGCCGACTGCGGGGAGCGGGGCCGCCGGGGGAAGGGCAGCGCCGCCGCTGGCCGGGCCGTACCTTGTCGGTCTGGAAGCTGACGGGGGCTCCGTATCGGCAGTAGGTGACGAAGTGCTCGCAGTTGTTCCAGAGCAGGCTGTAGGCCGTGGCGCCCACCAGCTTCTCCGCCCGGCGGGCCGCCTCCTCGCTGCCCAACACCTGGTCCTCGAAGAGCCGGTCCATGTGGTTGACCAGGATGCTGCCGCCGTAGGCGAAGTCCTCCACCGTGTCCACCCGGACGCTGGCCGTCCTGGCGATGACGCCCAGGATAAGCCGCTTGTTGGTCACCACCTGCTGGATCTGCCGACGGTCGCCGGTGATGGAGGGCAGGATGTCGGGCATCAAGTGGGCGACGCGGTTCTCGCCCAGGTAAATGCCGAAGTGGATGAAGAGGGTACGGGGAACCTCCAGCAGGTCTCCTCGCTTGAAGCAGCTGGTGTCGTAGTAGCCGGGTACAGGCGGTGGCGTTTCCCCGCCGGAGCCCGCGGGCAATGGACGGATGTGGACGAGGAGCATCAGCTTCTCCAGCAGCAGCGAGGCCGCTTGTGGCACCGGGTTCTTCATGGTCGGCGGGGAAACCCTCGGTGCCTCCGAGCAGCTCCTGGCCCCCGGCACCGCTTTTCTAGGCTACCGGCGGGGCGGGGCGGGCACCCGGGCCGGCCCACCGGGAGAGGGGCGTGTGGGGAGCGCCCGCCCCGAGGATCGGCCGGGCTTCACTGGGGGGCGCGGCGGGCACCCTCAGCCGGCCCGGCGTCCCTCGGTCCGGCCACGGCGGCGGCTCGGCCCTGGGGATGGCGCGGTGCCCGCAGCCTGGAGCCACCCGCAGCTCCGCCCCGTCTACGGCCCGCGCTGCCCAGGTAGAAGTGCACGGAAAAGTGCGGGTAAAGCCCTTCACCCGCCCCGGGGAGAGCAGCGAGGGGCTCCCGGGACCACAGCCGCTCCGTGCACCTTCCCCCGCCGGCGGGACCTGAGGGGCTCCGGGTGCCTGTCCCGCCGTCGCGGGGGACAAGCGGCCCGGATCGGATCGGGGGGGCGGGAGGGCGGCCACGGTGCTCGCACGGCGGCGGGACGGGGGAGGGAGCGTCTGCCTTGTCTGAAAGGAAACAGGTCTCCGAGGATAGCGGCAAATCACATTTATAAATGAACTCGCCCCCAAGGTCCGCCAGCTAAGAAGGAGTGGGAAACGGCGGAGCGGCATTCCCGTGCGTTCAGTTTCATGCTAATCCATTATGCAAATGGGTAAATCCTGGCAACGGAGCGCACAAAAGAGCAGCCCTGTCAGGTCAACAATACCGCCCGAGCGGGGCTCGGAACTTTCAGTAACCAAGCAGGTTCCCGCCCCCTCGGGGATGGCGGGATGATGGATGGGACAGACATTCATTTTACCTGGAAGATGACAGGCGCGGAGAGTGGCAGGGGAGGCGGCCGTGGCTGCAGCCTTTCACCGAGTCCCCGCCGCCGCGGCCCGGCCCGCTGCCATGGATCTTTGTTCGTGCCGCAGCCGCTCCGGCTGCAGGGGGGAGCTTTCGCCTCTGAGAAACGCGGAACGGGTGGAGGGAGGGGGAAAGAGAATATGTGTGTAAGAATGCTAGAGAAGTTTGGCGGAGCACCTTCCTTTAAACTCGGGCAAACACTTCAACCTCAGGATGCCAAATACGAAACGGGGAAGCGGGAAGAGGAGCGATGGTGTGTAACAGCTTGGCAGCTCTCCACAGGCAAACCGCGTTGAAACAGTAGGTTATTTTTTCTCTCCTCAGTCACTTCAAACTCTATGGAACACGAACGAGACCTCTAGACCACCCCAGAGATGTACAAGCCCTTTGGTCACACCAGCAAAAAAGAGAAAGTGTTCACTATACCTTTTCTTTCCATTAGCAAACAACTCTGGTATGATTTGGAAGGCAAAGGGGATACAAAAGACCCAGCAGGTGAGAGCCTTCTACCCTCTCAGATTCTGAACCCAGGTTCAGGATCTTATAAAAGTTTATTGATGAATCAAAAGCAAGTTTTCCCACTTCCTCAGTAAAGAAAATATTTCAGGGGAGGGGGTTACCTCATTACTTGTCAACAAAAGACAATGGCTGGTGCCCTTCTGTTTCCTCCTGCTTGGAGCAGAGAGCAGCTCCCTGGGAAGCTAAGACTACCCTCACCTTGCTTCATCTGCAAAGAAAGAGCCCCCTCACAAGCTCTTGTTCACAGGCCACAGTCCCAGCACTACTAACAGAGTGATCAGGCCTTTGGGATTTTCTCTGGAGTCTCAGCCAAATTTTTATGCAAGAGGCTTACCCCTCTCAAGTCCCTTACTTCAAATCACATCACTTACAAAAGAGAAAATACCTTTTAGATGTAGCTTATGATGCTTGTACAGGAACCCTGCAGATTAGCCACCAGACACACAATTATATAATTAAACCAGAGTATTTTCAAATCCAGCTGTTAAAAAAACATTATTTTGAAGGTTTGAGGCTTTTGCTACTAGTAAATAAAAGTGGGGGGAGGAGAAGGAGGAACTTCTCATTTTTAACCTAGTGCATTTTTTTTAATGGGTGAGGGGAAAAGAAATTTAAACACCTCATTTTCATAAAGGGTCTCACCGATTTGGTGATGGTCACAGCAGGTGGCCCAGAGCTGGAGGCGCAGAAGGTTGTCAGACTCCACAAAACGTCCTGGCACAGAAATATTCCTGTTTCCCTCCTATGTGGATGAGCACCATTCCTGCCCTGCACTGCTGTCTCAAGACTCTCCCTCTCCCCTTCCTTAAAGCTGTCTAGGGAGTGTCTGGATGGTCTTTGCTGAAACAGGCGGTAGATATGCTTCAGTCCTACAGCTCAGGTTTCTCTTCCCTGTCCAAAGGTAGGTAGAGGAATTCAATTAACTCCCTGGCAGATACAGACACTTCCCAGTGGGATCTTTCACATGGAGGCAACCTTTGTTTGTTTTCTTCATGCCAGTTAGCCTTAATCCCAAAATCACCAGGGCCCATTTCAAGTAAATCCAGAAAGGAAAGCAGGATGAAACTGAAGAAGAGGAATTGCCATGAGAAGCAGACTCAAAGCCTTACCTACTGCATGGGAGGGCTTCAAAGCAGTAAGGTGAAAGGTGTGACACTTCTGCTGTGTAATTTCCTCATACCTCAGGGACTGAAGAGCTTCCTCTCTCCCTCCCCCCAGCCACTCACTCACTCACTGGCCCAGAAACCCCAGTGAACAAGCCCAAAAGGCATTACAGAACAGATGGGTCTGTGGAATCCACCCAGGTAATGAAAGCTTCGCGCTACCCTCCAACTGTTGTGAGCATTACTGTGTGCAAAGCACTTAGTACAACACATCACAGTAATTCCCAAATTAAACCATTCAAATTCTTAAAAAGCAACCTGCAACCCAGCATTTTCTGCTTTCAAACCCAAGGGGCTGCACTTCTATTACTGTTAAGCTTCTACAGTGCAATGTAAAGTATACTTACCATAATTTTGCATCTGAAAGGGGAAGAAAACAAGAAAACACATACTTTAATGGAAAAACATCTCTACTGGAGATGCCAAACTAAAAATATACATTGTGCATCAAACACCACCACATATTCTTAGGCGACTTTTGTATAATAGCTTTTGTACTTTAGTACACAAATTTAAGTGGGAAAATCACTCTGGAATATTAAATATAAACCCCAAAACACTGAGGAAGTATTTGTTTGGACTGTTAAGTGTCATGGAATAATTTAATGATAAAGGCTATGCTTTATTTTTGAGAGTTAGGCTGAGATGCAGTAAGGGAGCTGTGAGAGGTAAGAATGCAGCCTTTGTTTAGTAGTGCAGATGAGCCAAAGTACAAAAACTTCAGTAAGAGGTGCAAGCCAGTTTCCATTACACTGAAACTCCTGTATTAGAAGGAACCTTATTTTATGCACTAGACATGACTATTTCCATCCTGCTCTCACAGCTAACACAGTAGGGAAAAGGCAGGAAAGGCGGGGAGTTGGAAGGGTATGTTCTTGCCTATATAAGGAACAGACCTGGTTTAACGAGCAGGCAAAATGAATTTTTTAACTTACTGAAGTTAGACCAATGCTGACTGCATACATGCCCACCTTTATGTGTATTTTACCAAACCTCTCTCAATTAGCTTTACTTTCAGCAAGCTTTACTTTCAGATCATCTGGGACTGCTGAAATAAGCAGAGGTTCATGAATTCAAAACATGTTAAGATACTGAAGGAGAGTAACATCTTTGAATAGGGGTTTTTGGAGGACATAATTTGCAAGAAAAGTATCTGAAGAGCAAAGCCATTTGGTTTAAGCTGGTGTGCCGAACGGAATAATGGACAGAAAACATGTTTGTGAAGAATAGTTTAATAACATCCAAAAGGGCTACTCCAGAGATAAAAAAATAACACCTTTGTATTCCAATATCCAATCCATTTGAACACTACCATTCCTTTCAGCAAATTACAGCTTCCATTACAGAGCTGTAAGTGATCAGCTCTCCAGTAAATGGTATTATTTACTTTTTTGGTTTTTATATTTAACAAAGATTAGGGACAGAACAGAAAAAATCTGAACCAAGAAGGGAACCAGCAAGACAATGCATGAAATTGCAGGCAAGTGAAACAACTCCAAACAAAGAATTTCTAAACTAAGTATCACTCTCTTCCAGAAGAAGAAACCACATAAACAAGTAAAACAAATTTATACTTTATTAATGTTGACTTTTATTCAGAAACTTACTGCATACACATTTCCAGAGTCACTTAAGCAGCATATTGAGTGAACTGCAAAAATTTACCGTAGCCTTTTTATCCTTCTAGGTTTGCTACTGAGGTCTATCACTTTTTCTTTTTTACTTCTCTCAGTATGCTTCCAAATTATTAAGGAGAGTTTTCTAACAAACAATGACTGTAAACATCATAAAACCTGCATGCCATTTTCCCTTTGAAGTTATTAACTTGGCCTTTTTTCTGCAATGAAGTAATGACTTATTTTTTACAACCTGACAATCATGTTCTACACATGGACGGTACCTATGACTAGCTCAGGCAATAATTGTTTAGATGGATAAAGCATTCATTTATGATGCTTTCAATTCAAATGAACAAAACCACAGAAAACGTGGGAACAATTCACTGCATAGTCCTCATTAGCAAGCAAGAGGCTAGGAAATTATTAACAGTGATATACAGCACTGGAAATTTAGGAACTAACAGACAGGTTAGGTGACAATTAAAAAAGTACTTATTTCCATAGTTTTTTCTGCTATTAGTAATGTCTCATTTTGTCAGCACTAAGCAATTAATACAATCTCCTCAAAATAAACAGATTAATTTCTGAATATAAAATGCCTGAACACATGGAGTAGTATTTTTACAGCTTCTGCAGAGAAAATACATTTATCAGAATTTCCACCGTGCTATTGTCCCAGGAAATTTGATACAGATTTTTAAATCTTTTCTTAATGAGATGAAGAATTTCAGAAGTATCCCAATTTGAACATGCTAATCATATTGTGCAGGAAGGGAGATGGAGAGGTGATAACTGGGAGTCAGAATAAAGACAGAGTACATACATTTAACTATGTTAAATGCATTTAACATAGTTTTTCTTCACAGCAGAAGACACCTTTTTGTGGGAAGGGCAATGCAAATGACAGTCAAATAAACTTAATCCAGGCATTACTCTGCTGCACAAATCAAGGATTTAATAGCCCTGGAACAAAACCACCCAGCCCTGCTTCACCCCTGCCAGGATTACACCACCACAAGAAGGAGTGAGCAGGCAGACTCTCCTTTCCTCATCTTCAAATTTATTACCAAATTAAGATCTGCAATTTACTACTACTCAGTGCTTTCAACTGAAGGATTAATTAGTAAAAGATATTGGAAAATGCAATAAAAAAGTCTGTCATTAACCAGACAAAGTGCTGGAAGTTTGGTGGATCACCACCAAAGGTCAGCATTTATGACCAGTCACTGTATAACAGTACCAATTATTACTTTTCTTTATTGCCCAGCAGGGAGAACTGTTCCCCAGTACCAGACAGTGCTGCCTTCCCAGCCGTGCAGAGCAGGCTACCCAGCCTCACTCACTGCACAGGACACACACACAGCTGACAGGACAGCAGTCCCAGTGGTTTCCAAATAAAGGACGAGAGAAGGAAAAGAGAGATGGACGGAACAGGAGGTAATTTCCATCTTGAAGTAAAGATTATCTTGCCTTGTAATTAAATGTTATGTTGCAATTTGATTAATTCTATTTTTCAGGAAATAAACTGATTCTTCATCCACTGTATTATCTAGACAGGAAATGTTATCAGACACAGACAAAGCTATTAGTCTGGTATTACTCAAAACATTTGCCAATCTGTGCCATATAGCTAAACCTGTGAGAAATAACTGTCAAATTTCTACTTTTTAACCTTAAAAAAAATTCTCATTCAAGAAGCCAGTTCTTGTTCATAATATGCTTTTATACCACTTAGTGTTAAAAGCATATATATTAAACACTTGTTATTCTATCAGTGATTTTAAATCAGGAACATTTTTAATCTGGAAATCCAACAGCATTTGTCCAAGTGCTTTACCCTGTAAGAAAAAAGAAACAAACCAATATTTTATTTTACTATCTAAACATACTATCTTTTAAAAGTTTTTTTTTTTTAATGGTTTCATATGAGTGTTTTTCCTATAATCAGGCTGAGAATTCATTCTAAGTTTCTTGAGTTTTCAAGCATCCAAATTTGAATAGACTGAACAGTTTCTTCCATTTATTTGCTACCTACTGCTAAAATCAATTAATTTGGGGTTCAATTCTATCTATTCATACATAGCCTCACCTCACTTTGTGAGCAGTCTTCTTGACTATGCTGAGATTATACACACATGAGCATTTCTGAGCCTATGAGACAGCTATGTAAACCATAGCATTGCTCAGGATCTCATCTTCAGGTTCAGATATTTTAAATATTTAATACTCAGATTGTACATTTGCAAAACAAATTCTTACTTTCAGATTCACATGGAATCATCAATACAAAATACCTCATATCCATCTGCTTTTCATGTTTATACACATTATTTATCAGTATTTTAACTATAGAAGGGATAGGCTAAATGAGTTGTCCTACAGCATGGTTCCTGTACATACTTGGAAACAATCAGAACTGTCTAGTAAATCTGCATTTTTCAAAATGAGAAATAAGTTTCTGATATTAAATTCTGGAATTAGTTTATGATAAACTAATTTTGCTGGTGCATCAAAAAACTGGTGGTCTTTAAATCAGTACTGCTCTTTATGATGTGCTATCTTATTAGGGCACATCTTTTTCACCAAATATTCCAAATCTACTTTCCTATGTTGTTTTCAAACCTTACAAAATTAAATAAATAGTATCTATTAGCAGGAAATTAAAAGGAAGTAGAATCAAACCCAAACCTCACAGTTCCAGCACAAAAGCTGGTTATGAAAACCACATAAAAGATGACTTAAAGATGACATTAAAATGATGGCTTTGATACATGCCTGAGGGTCACTTCTTAGGGATGCTATACCACCACCACCAAGAGAATTCTTCAGAACAAAATTTAATCCATGGATTCCTGGTAACTCATATCTGTAAAATAAAAACTGCACATTATTTGTCAGCAGATTTTGGAAGAAACACATGTAGAGAACAAAAAAAAAAAAAACAGCATGCAAAATTTTCATGCTTCTGATCACATCCCACTGCTGAGTCAAAGTCCAAAAAGTAACAAGATTAACACAAGGCCTTACTTGCCTTCTTGTTCCTTTCTCTTACTCCAAATTACTAGCCCTTAATAGTTTTAAAGCTGGACCGTAAGGTAATCATTCTCCTCTATTCAAAAATCACCAATTTCTAATAGGGTTGTTCCTAGAGTTCTTTCTTTCTGTGAGTTAAAGTTGGTATCTGAAAGCCAGAGGTTGAAGATCCAATATGAACTTGGATAACACAAGGGGCAAAAGAAAATATTTGTATTAGCTCCTAGTTCTGATACTGAAAGGTACAATCACTTAATTCCTGGAACTCACTTTTGCTAACAAATGCTGCCAGCTAATTGCAAAGACACCCTCTTCGTTACTGAGAAACCTCTGTGAGTCACTACATCAGCTCTTACGACAAACAGATAACTTTATGGCAAATTCAAATCAGAGCTTTCCTGGAGCCATGCACTTTGTTCAGATAAAACTTTATTTTAGTGTGACAGACCTATGTTTCTGTTCCATCGCCACTGTAAGCCTTTTTCCATCCTTGCTTTTGACTGGTGCAGTTCCAATTTGGAAACTTCCGCAGCAGTTTGGCAAATGGCTCTGTGGTTTCCTATTGTTTCAAATTCCATAAATAGGTCTACAGTATATTTCCATTTGCCTCTCCTTGCAGTGTTTTGCCATCTTCTTTCTATTGTTGGTTTTCTTTGGTTTTGCTTTCCTTCAATATTTTCTTCATCCAAGTACCTGATAGCTTTGCTTTAATTCCATAGGAAAGAATTTAAATCAGAACATCATCAAGCCATGAGGAATTAACAAAGATGATATCCAATTTAAATCCTGCTTCCTCCAACATCACTTACTTTGCTTTAGTCACCTACCCGATCTTCATTTGTTTGGGACAGATTCTTTATATCTTTCCCCTAAAAGAGGCTCAATTTCTTGCAGTGCTCTTACACTGCTGATTTTATCACTTTGAGGTTTATCTCTTTCAGCTCCTTTTGAGCACTGTGAAAACCACGGCTGTTGCTGGGGCTCACAGCCCTGTCTGCCCTTTTATCTTGGGCATATGACCTAAACCTCTTATGGAAAGAGATGATTCTGCTGAGCAGCCTGGCAATCACTTCAGTTCTTGTTGTAGAAAGCAAGAAGTCATCAGAGTGTTCATGTCTGTCTCCCAGGCAAAAAGTTTCAATGACTTCCTTCAACTTTTTCATTACCCCACTCTTCTTTAGTGTTAGTATTATTAGTTATTATTAAGAAAAAAAAAATTGGTGTTGGTGTTCTGTTACTCTTTCTCAAAAGCTAGTTGACAGGCACCATTATCATGCTTAAAGACAAATGCACTGGGAAGGCAGGAAAGTAGATTAATCTATCAGTGCTCATTTAGACAACAAGAATATGAAGAATAAAGCAATTCTACAAGAAGTTACCTACCTAATTTACTAAATTTAATACCATAATCAACTATATGGCACAACCCCATCAAATTTTCTGAAAAACTAAATAAAAATTTCCAATCACCACATACCACAAAAGCCAGAGATCTACCAAAGCAAAGCACTGCACTATGAATTTTACTCTGAAAAGCTGGCAAAGATTTCCAGGCAGCAAAGAATTTCACAACTGGAAGAGGTCTTCTCAAGAACTAGATTGAATTTTGATTCCTAATAGCTCATCTCTCAAAAGAAGTGTCATGAAAATCAATCAGGAAAAACAAATCAGGAGAGAAAGTTCAGAGCATATAAATGCAGATACATGTAAGTGGAAGAATTTCATTTCACTTTCTGCAGCAGTTTTGGCAGAGGAAATATGCAATACAAGCAACAAATCTTAATTTGGAACACTATTACATGGCATATTCATTCTATTTACTTTAAGAAACTATTTACAGTAGAGTAATGTAGCTAAAATGAGAATTACAAAATAATATATGATGGCCAACATCTTCACTATTTTAAGGCTTGTCTGTAGCATATGAGCATTTAAAATATTTCCACAAAGAATATAAACTTGCACAATAAAAGGAAGAAAAACCACTATAACAATTATAATAGTCTTAAGTAGCAACAATACATTGACCAAAATGCTGGCAGGCATTTACTCAGCATAATTAAACAATTTAAGCTTAATTATCTGAGATCTAAAGGAAAAAAAAATCTAATTGTACAACTTAATTAAATGTTTTAAGAGCTGCTTTTAAAAACACAGAAAACAAATAAACCTTTCAAAGAATACTGTATCTGTGACAAAAACCAGTAAGACAAGGAGTATTCACTGTTCTAGCTGAATTCCTATGCTTAGGCACAACGGAGTGCCTGATTAACTACTTTCTTTAAAGTGCTGTCCATAGAATTCAGAGAAGTAAGGTCTTCTGGTCAATCTCCCATTAAAAAGCATGGAAATAATAATGATATAAAATTATTTAATGCATTTAAATCAAGGAAAAGTCATGATTCTTTTCGTCACCAGAAAGCAGGAACCAAGTCCAAAGGCTTAAAGAAGTGTTTGCATATGAGAGATACTGTAGAGAAATACTTATTTTTCCTAACAAATGTATGTAAGAAAAAGCCATCTAGAAGGATCAGCATCCACATTTCTTGTTCTTCAGCTCCTGGTGAAAACATCGCATAGGAAGAAATAAGCTGTCAATTTATAGTATTTCTGAGCATTGAAATGTTTTCAAAACATTACATATAACATATTTCAGAAGATGAAAATAGAAAAATCTTACAGGATAGTTTTACTCTCCTTCTTAAATTACTGACCTAGTACCACTGCATAGAAAGTTTCTCGTTCTGTACCTTAAGATACTTGGATCTGTTAAGAATGTACAGCAGCACTCTACTGTGGGAAGCAATCACCTGAGGATTGAAAAACCATTTTTTTCTATTATTTTACCTGCAGATCTGGAAATTCATGAGCTTTCAGTGTCCTCTACCAAAATAATCCCATTTTTTCTCTGTTTAGTACACCTATTTAATACCTCTAGTGAGAAAGCATGAAAGGCAGCTGGTTAATAGACTGTTCTGTAGTGAGTAAGAGCCATGGTTGGTATGTTTATAGTAGCAAAGCTAATACATAGTTTTTAACTACTCACTATTTAAATAAAAGAAATGAAGGAAAATCAGACAGTGAGACAACTCTTTTTTAATGACAGTTAAAACTAAAAAATAAACAAGTAATTAAAAAAGAAACTACACAATCTGAAGCACATGAGCATAATCCTTATAATCCTAAATATTTCCACAAAAGGTTTTATTCTTTTTCCCCAGTAGCTTTCCAATTTACTCACAGAGCTCCATTATCACATCATTAAAGGAAGCCAAAACCACAACCAGATAATCTAATTAATCAAATTAATTTGGCTACATCCAAAGAGAGAAAATTTCTACTTCTATTTATGAACATAAACAGCATTAAGGAATGACAATGAATCCACTTCTACTATCATTAGGAGGAATGACATTGTTTATTTCTTCTTGTCTCTGCTCTGCTTCCGAGGAAATTGAATTACAATTCTTAGTATCACAATTTATTAGATACATAGATTTGTTAGCACTTATGAAACAGTGGGTGAGATCTGCACTGAGCTGCTTATGAAGACAAAACCAGCACTTACAATTCAAAGATCAGGGGTTAAAATAACTCCAAGCTCTCTCTGAGCTTTGAGCTGTACCTTTCTGACTCAAGCTTTCTGAACAAACAAAAAGACAGGCAACAGTTTATCCACTACCCATGGAAATACATAAAGGATTTTAGCAAAATCTTCTTATGAAGAATACTTATGAAGATACAAAGAACTGACTTTGTATCAAAACATGTTTTAGAAGACTGAATATTTAGTGGCAGTATTCAGCTTTTATTTGTTTTCAAAGAGATAAAAAGGTTTAAAATCTGTTGACTATTCTACTGGACATCTTTAGGAGAGCGAGCTTCATTACCTCACGCTACAGCAACAGCAGTCTATGTTTCATTCAGTCCCCAGGAAGGGCCCTGAGCATCAGTCAGAACACAAAAATAAGAATGTTATCTGCTAACAGAGAATATTCTTTAGTAGGTGACTATCACATAAGTGTCCTTTTTAGGATGTACTCTCTTTCAGATTTTAAGAGAAATTAGCTATGTTTTTTCTTTAAATTCTGGCATGGTATAGATGGCACAAAAGTGGGTGAGAGTGAAGTACTAGAAGGAATATATTAAAATGCTTTGCAGAAACAGGGACAGTATGAGGCCCATTTCTGATGGATCATCAGGTAAATTTGGGCTCCAGACCACAGTGGCTGTGTGAATGTCTTTCAGTTACAGATTTATAACTCTCAGTTCAGCACTGGCTCAGAGGCTTGGGAAGCTTCGGTTTTTAAGGCTCCTGCAGTTCCCAAATGGTGAAAAACCAGTGGAAAGATAAATTTCTCAAAGGGCATTGGAAGCTATTTCTAGTTGGTAAAAACATTCTGTACTGGCACAAAACAAAGGAACAGCCCCAACACTACTATGCTAATTCTGAGAATTTAAATGCCTTCACTAAACGGATTCATGGCCTTTGTCCAGCTTCGAGAGAGGCCCAACTTCATGCTCTCAGTGACTATGCTCATGTTGTTATTTAAAAAGACAAAGGAAGATACATTAAAAAACCCAAAGAGAATACATATAAACTCACAATATTTATATTAACATATTTTAAGATAACCTCTGATACCATCATGTATCTACCATACAACTGTGGGATGCACAGCGAGCTACTCACCTTGTTACTAGCTCTTCTTCTGGTTTCTCATGCTCTAAAAGGTGTTGAAAGTAATTCTGCAGGGCCTGAGCAGTTAAAGTTTTCTTTAAGTATGGATAGTAGAGGGGATGCCGTGCTATCACACCTGTTAGGCATTAAGTGGCATTAGATGAAATAGGAACTGTTAAAACCAATTTGTATTTATCCTTTCAAAACCAATTTGAGGTCCTCCGCTTAACTGAAACTGTACATATGGATCCCCTTTAATGAGCTCCTGAATAAAAAACACAACAGTATGACAGCTCTCCCTCTGTCAGTAGAGATGTAGCATGGAGCATGACACCAAAGAATGCTAAGTTACCACTAAGTGATCACTGGATTTTTTTTCTGCTGCAAACAGTCCCTGCCACTGAAAAGACACCTAAAGAACAACAACATCACAACAAACAACCCACAGGCAATTCTCTTCCCTTAAATGGTTTGCAAGACAGATATTTAAGTAATCACAATTAACCACAACAAGGAATGATCAGTGACCAAAGGTTTGGTCCTTGCCCCACCTCTTGCATGGGATTCTGACATAAGTATGACAAATCGCAATTACATTTTTACTTCTGTAAACATGCTTTATAAGCTTCAGCTAATTTTATGCTGAAGCTGAGGTTCCAGAGCAGGATCAGGAAAACAGCTTTGTATCACTGGGACCTTTCTAGCTGGACTTAAATTAGAGGTTAAGTTTGTTGTTGTTAGTGTTGTTCCTTAGAAAAGCTGCAGTGTCCTTGTATCTGAAGCAGTCTATTACATATACTTCATTCATGACTTGGCAATGCTACACTGCAACAGTGATCAATCATGGAGAAAGAAAAAGAAAAAATAGGAAAAAGAAAAAAAAAAATCAACATTGTTTCATTCTTCAACCCAAAAAAACTAGTTTCACAAACAAGGACAAGAAAACTATATTCCTGAATACAAATGAACAAAATTCATCAGTTTTAGCATGACAGCTAATAGCAAATCAAATCCCAAACGCACCTTTAATTCATACTGAGCTTTGAACACCACACGCTCTCATCTTCCAACAAGTAAGAGAGCCAATTGTTGCATGCAGAAGTAAGGAATAGAAGGAATTATTAAACAATGCAAGAAGCAGCACAATCAATGCAAAGAGACTGCACACTGAAATATACCATTTGCATTAGCAATATAATAAAAACATTCTTGTATGCATGAGAACAACTTTAGTGTTTCCTACTAATGTCAATGTTTTAGCCATAGACATGTTACAAAATTAATATATGAAAATATTATACATGATCAGACAATCAAGAAATTATATGATCTAACATCCATACATGAAGGACTAGCAAGTGATGTGTAAAAGAAACTTTTAAAAGGCATTTCTTAACTTCTGGGAGCTCAACTTTCCAACCCAAAACAAAAACCTTTCTTTTTAGTATGACATGCTAGTATTTTTTCTTAGTACCTCAGATTACAACAGCTGCTAATCAGAAGACTACAGATATTTCATCAGTAAATCCATATTCAATACGCATTCTCATTTGTTTCAGCACAATTATAAAAAAGATCAGGTGATGTTTAAACAAATTAAGACTAGCACTTGATATGTAACTCTTATGTGAAAATGTTTCATCACTTCAGAAAGCAAAAGAAAGAAAAATACCTATGTTTGCAGAATTGCCTTTATCTCCACTTCTAGTATAGGCAAGATCTTCTAAGCGGTAAGTGTGTGGACCACTTGGCAGATCTGTACAACAAAAAAATCAATTCATTTTAATGGTGCTACAAATAATTGCACATTTTGAAGGAGTAACCGTCAGTTTAGGTGCATGTTTTTTGCATTGTTTGCAGTACTCTGAAAACATTTCCAGTCCTTCTTCTCACAGGAGCACCTAGAGAAAAAAAGGCAAGACTGAGGGGCCAACATTAGGAAGTTGATCCCTCCTGCTCCATCTCCCAAATCCCTTTTACTTTTTTACAGCCAAATGCATCCCCTTTTCCATGACCCTTCAATATGACTTCCATCTTGGCCTTAGCAATGCAGGACCTCTGAAAGAGGGACAGCAGCTGCTTGTCTTTTCTTGGCTAGCCAGTAGCTTTTGTCCCCTTAAGACACAGATCCCTGCCTCCAGTGCAGGCGGAAAACACCTGCAGTTGCTCCTGTCCTGACTGAACAGACGTTACAGAATTATCTGCTAATACCTGTAGAAAAGAGTAACAAATTCCTTTTCAAGACAATGCATCTCTCATTTGCATTTGCAATATACAGCTTCTTACCCACCTGTATAGAAGAAACCTAAGACTTCTTTTTCAAGTTACTACTTTTGTAAATATCTTTCTAAGAAAATGTATGCTTTCTAGGAAGCCAGTCTCAATTGTCAATGTCTGAGTATTGGATGTTCAAAGAACATGGAGGTTGTTGCACTTCACTGAATGAAGTTGATACGAAATAAATTATTCATCTATGCATCAAAAAGCAAACCCAGTCCTGTCCAAATCCAGCATTTAATATTGTGGGATTCTCACAGTATATACCCGAGGTTTGATGGTTGTTACACAGCACAGACCTCCTGCAATTGTTGATTATGTGTAGTAGGCTGTCACCATCTACCTCTACCAATAGTTTGAGCTATTCATTGATCACAGCATAACACTGCAACTTGAAACATGGGCTATATGCAAGCTTTAGGCAGCAAGAATCGAGTAATTTTCAGTCAGTTCTGCTTCTGATCCAACTTTCCTACAGCCGTATGAACTCTCCTTGACTTTTCAACCTCACCATCAAATAACAGACTGACCTCCACTCCTGACTCGCAGTAAACTTCTCATCCCTCAGTCCTTCTCTCCTCTGTCCCCTTCCTGTGTTTTTTTCCATCCTTCTGGACACAAGTAGCAGTTCTCCCCCTCTCTCTGCTCCTTAGACACCCGTAGGGGGAATATGCAGGGCAGGGAAGTAACAGCCTTCCTGCTTTGTGGCAGCTTTGGTGCAACTGCTGCTGATGGCAGCCAGAAGCAGCAAGTCACAAACGTCCTGAATTTAAAGGAATTGATACAAGGTCTTGTAAATCAATTATGCTGGACTAACTTCATGTTGCAAGGCACAATGCAATGTGAAAATACATCAGTCTGTCCCTTTTGTACTATATTGCTTCTGCTGAGAATACCAACCTATTTGGGTTGATTTTTTTTTTCCTTTTTAAATTTTGATTTAATTTTAGGCAGTAAGAGACCCAGTATTAAAGATCTTAGGCTCCAAATGCTGGTCTGAGGGATCACTTAGAGCTTAGTGCACCTACCATGCAGGCACGAGTAGGTATGTACTCTGTGAACTGCATCAGGTGATCAGGTAAACCCAGCCCTAGCCTAATCATCCTAACCTTCAACTGCTTCCTGCCCCCAGGAAATTGCTGACAAAGACTGAACCAGGTGAGCCAGGCTGACCTGGGTAAGAGAGAAACTATGTCCAAGTCCTACTGGCTGCAGTTTTCACTGACCCTGTCTGTGGCAGTGGCAGCTGGACAGATCCCCCAAATCCATTTGGGTATGGGGTAAGAGATACACTGGATAACAAAAATGGCTCAGTAGGACATGACACATAATTTGTACAGTGTATCTGTGTTTGGTTGAAGGAGATCAGTCAACACCCACAGGAAGAGCTCTGCTGGCACATGTGAGTGGCAACAACAAGGAAAACATAATGAAGAACTAGGGGCTCACCACAGCAACCTCTTCTACTGGCACACTTGCATCAGAAAATCTTCCCACAATCTGCCCAACAACTTATCACCACTGAAGTGCTTTAATTAAGACCTAGAGTTTTATAATATATATTGGGTCCCATGAAAGGTGAGCTGAAAGAGTGATTACAGTCCAGTCTGGCACATCAGCTCCTCAGTGGTAAAACTCACAGTAACATGAAATTTGAAGAAGTTAAAGCATACAGTGAGAAAGAGGAACTCAGTATGCTTGTTTTGAGCTTGAAGCTCACAATTTTTTCCACATTCACTCGCTAGCAGAAATGTACCTTGAAATGTGGCAGAAAATATTTAAGGGTGTATTTATTTAATTGAGGAATATTTTTTGTGATTAAACATCTCCACTGAGAGTGGATCTGAAAATTCACCTAAAGCTCATTGCTCATTTTGGACAAGACTACCACACTTCCTACACTAGAGAAATCACATTAATTTTAATAATTTCATTCAATATACCATTCAAGACAAAATGTGGTGCTTTATCACAGGCTGAAATTTGACAATATCTAAATTGCATAAGCTACAGAAATCTTTTCTCCATCAGATGTTTTACACAGTCAGTCTCTGACAATCTCCCTTTAAACAAAACCAGTTTAAGTCAGTGTTTCTGGTATTCTCATTTATTATTACCCTAATTGATTTATCTTTCATGATCTGTTTATCAGGAAATTGTTTTCATTTAATAAACATCTTAAAAACAAATCTACAAAAGAATTCCCTTCAAAGCTAGGGAAAATGGTAAATACAAATTCCACCCTCTCAGAAGCACATCTAGCACATATTTTAAATCCATTTTCACATATTTCTCTTATCTATTCAATGACAACTAACAGTCCCTCACCCTTGAGATAACCATGAAACTAAGAAAAATACTTTCCTCTCTAAATGCTTACAGAAAATGCTTTAGCAGAGGCTATTCCTTTTACAGTCTAACCCATTTGTCTTTCTCATCCATGCTGTCCTACATTAAGCCACAAAAGTAGGTAAGTATTTAGTCACATGCAGAAAACATTTATATTTACAACCAAGGGCAAAAGTTTAGAGATGCTTCTCAGGGAAAACAACCAGAGAAATTCTGCTGTCTCTCAAAAGTGGAATTTTGCCTAAAAAAAGGCCTGAAGAATTCAGTAGCTAACTCCGGGTGTCAGGCACCTCTGAAAGTTTTCTCAAGTTATAAGAAGGCAGTAGGGAATCCAACAGCTTTTTGCTTCTCCCATATTTAGCACTGTAGTCACCCTGAAAAAAACCCCAAACCCAGGACTTATGCTAACCCTTTCATTAAGCCAAACAATTACTTCCTATTCCTTAACTTGCCCAGTCTGATGGTGCAAATACCACTCTGCCCTCCTGAGAACTCCCAGGGAGCTGAGAGATGCTGCTAAGACATCAGATTTCCAATAGATATAAGAACTGAAACCTACTTAAGACTTTAAATTGTTTCCACACAGCACAAATCATTCTATTGAAGAGATCTTTGAATAGATGGGGAAAATAAACACATACATGGCAATCAGGCATCCACTATCAGTCGCTTTCAAATGGCAATAAACACAAAGTCATGTACATATTTCAAAATTTCTCTATGTGATACAAACATTCCTTACTAACTCATATTGATTGTTACACTGTTCTACTGCTAGCTTTGAGAAAACACTGCTCACCTTTATCTGGAATCCAGAGTAAACCTTAACGTATAAATGCCTTAATAGCATTAATTTTTTAAGTATACACAGACTTTAATACCTGAATTACTCTTTCACCATCAGTATTATTTTCAGAAAATTTTCCAACTTGTAATTTTTAGGCAGAGTCATCTGATTGAGATTTTCAAATACCTAGCCACAGCTTTGAACTAATTCTCCCAGTTCTCTGGTAAGCAAAAATAAGATAATGAAGACTGTTTGGACCAAAAGGGAATGATGGAGCATGCTATACTTTAAGAAATACTGTAAATAGTTCAGCCATTAGCAATAACAAAAATTTTCAGATGTCCAGCGCTTTCAATAATTGCTTGTATGAGCAACTCTGATTTAACATTTCCTTTTCATTGCAGACATCCTGATCTGCTCCATTCAGCTCACTGGTTAGCCCTTCTCAAGGTTTTTTTTCTTCTCAGAGAATTTGGTTAGACAAGTCTAGCAGCAGCACAGCAACTACACAATCACACTGGATTATTACCCCAGTATAGTTTCTTTTAAAGTCAACAGTTCCAGGCTGATCCCATTCTTGTTGATTTTGTCAAAGCTGCCATATGGAACAGGAGCGAATTTTAATTATCTAAGTCCTGTGAGTCCATAAATCATTCTGTTCATTTGTCCTCTATTCTGAACACTATTTTGATGTAAGATAAACCCAACTATTCACAGGACTCACAAAAGCTAACATTACAGTATACTTTGAAATCACATTTCAATTTCAAGCCAGCTTTACATGATCTTCGGTTGTGTTTAAGGCTTAGAGGTTTTTAATAAAATGTACTTCCCTACTTCTTATAGTCTCAAATACTACACGACACTTCCAAGAAAACAGTTTACATTTGCAACAGCCATAAAAATGTATCACATAAGGAGGCAAAATGTATTTCAGAGACAAAATCCAACACCATTTACAAGGATGAAGATAGCAGATGATAAATTCACAAGTACAAAGATGAACATACCTTTCAATTCACTGCTAATCTTAGGTGGATCAAATGAAACCACCTCATCTGATGTAAACGTGAGATCCTCCTCAAATATCTCAACATGCTGCCCATTTAAAAATAGGTTGATCTGTACAAAGAACACAGATTTTCAAACAGTCAAATCAGAAATCTATTACAATGTGAATAAATAAAGCACATTCCTAATTAAGTACTGATCTAGTAGACTTCCAGTAATAGCTTTACATATAAGGCTCTGTTGCTCCCTTTTAAAAGGTCACAATACAATAATGATTCATTATAAACCTAAAAGAAATCTTTGTTTAGGGAAAAAATGGTATAAAAAACCCCAAAGGAATTCTTTGTCCAGCTTGGTATTTTTTAAAGGAAGACAAATCTCCATCTCACTCTATATATGGCAACATTGCATGTCACAACTCTTGACAGCTGAATCCCAAAACTTGAACATTTCCACCTTTTCCATGATGCAACCCTCTTCTTAATATTGCTGTCTGTATTATAGACAAACTTCTCACTGCATTCTGTGTTTATCTTCAAATATATTTTGTGAAAGCTGGTAAAAAAGTACATCAATACAGGAATTTTGGGCTTGGTTGTTGCTCAGTAGCAACACTTAGTAGACTCTAAGTCAAGCACTTTCCAGTTTCCCATGGTCTGCCAGCAAGCAGGTGCACAGAGAGCTGGGAGGGAGCATGGCCAGGACAGCTGACCTGAACTGGCCAGAGGATATTCCACACCAAAGGGCATTATGCCCTTTACATAAACAGGGAGAGTGGGGAGTTGGCTGGGAGCTACCGATCGCTGCTGGGGGATAGGCTGGACATTGGTCAGTGGGTGGAGGGACACTCTACAGGTGTGTCCCTTTCTTGGGTTTTATTCCCCTCTTACTTTTTTGTCACATCCCTTTTTTAATAATACAAACAACTACTACTTTGTTTTAATTATTAAACTGTTCCTATCCCAACTTGTGTAGCTTAATTTTTACCATTTTTCCAATTCTTCTCCCTATTACACTGGGGAGGGGGGAGGTGAGAGAGTGGCTGAGTGGCACTTAATTGCCAGCTGGAAATAAACCCCGACAGACCTTTTTCACGCCCAGCACGGGGGTTAATGGGTTGAGATAACAATAGATCTGAGTAGACTATATTAGAACAAATTTCTTACAAGCATTTGTTGCATTAGTTTAATAGCCACTGGCCACAATGACTTATTCGCTCACCAAGTCGATGTGTTTGTTCCTTAAGTTCAATTAGGCACCGCCTTACTTGCAGTATGTGTTCTCTGTTACAATGTTTATCACCCATGGAAACTGGGCTGAGGTTATCAAGCTGTACTTTGTAACACTGGCTAATGATATGATATAATTGCTGGTTGTGAAACTAATCTGGTATTTGCACTCAGCATTGCTGTCATCCCTGTACTTGGGAGTCATCTAGCAACAACCATTGATAATTACACCTTTTACCTTTTCTCTTTGGAAACTCAGACCATGAAGGGGACACACTTCCCTTCCTCTTCCCCTTATCCTCCAGCCTAATTACAATAGATCTTGAGAATTTTAAATATCCTGGGATGTTCAAAGTAGCATGTTCCTATCATTATGTCTCCACAGAATCAATTAGATTGGGAAAGATCTCTGAGATCATAGAGTCCAACCTATGATCCAACACCACCATGTCAACTTGACCTAAGTGCCACATTAAGTCTTTCCTAAACATCTCCAGGTATGGTGACTCCACCTCCTCTGAGGCAGCTGTAGTGTGTGATAAGGTCTGCCCTGAACCTCCTATTCCCCAGGCTAAACAACCACCGCTCCCTCAGCTGCTCCTTGTGAGACTTGTGCTCCAGATCCTTCACTAGCTTTGCCAGCTTCTTTCGATGTGCTCCTGCACCTCAAAGTCCCTCCTAAGTTGAGGGGCCCAGAACTGGACACATGACTCAAGATGTGGCCTCACCGGTGCTGAGCACAGGGGGACAATCACTGCCCTGCTCCTGCTGGCCACACTATTGCTGACACAGGCCAGGATGGCATTGGCCTTCCTGGCCACCTGGGCACACTGTTGGCTCATGTCTTGTGAATGTGTTCCAGGTCTTGTTTAAAGTTTAAACAGATATTTAAGACCATTTCTCAGAGATCAGCTCTGCAGAGAAAGACTTGGGGGTGATGGCTGATGGAAAACTCAACCTGACAGTGTACATTCACAGCCCAGAAAGTCAACCCAATACTGAGCTGCATCAAAAGGAGTGTGGCCAGTCAGCTGCAGGAGGTGATTCTCCCCCTCTATTCTGTTCTTGTGACACCCCACCTGGAGGATTGTGTACAGTGCTGGTGTCCCCAAAATACGAAGGACACAGATCTGCTGGAGCAAGTCCAGAGGAGACCATGAAGTTCATAAAAGGACTGGAGCAGCTTCCCTACAAAGACAGACTGAGGGAGCCTGGAGAAGAGAAGGTTGTGTGGAGATCTCACAGCAGCTCACCAGGATCTGAAGGGGCCTACATGGAAGCTGGAGAGCAGCTCTTTGTCAAGAGCAGTAGTGACAGGACAAAGGTAATGTGTACAAATTGAAAAAGGGGAAATTTAGTTTAGATATTAGGAGGAAATTTTTCACTCTGAGGGTGGTGAAACATTGGAACAATCTGCCCAGGGAAGTTAAGGATGTTCCATCCCTGAGGTATTCAAAGCCAGGTTGGTTAAGGCCTTGAACAACCTGGTATCCTCGCCCATGACAGTGAAGGTTGGGACCAGATGATCTGAAAAAAAGCATCTCTTCAAGGAAAATGCTGTATGCCACCCAGATAAGAGCACCACAATACAGGGAAGAATTCAGTTCTTGAAAGAAGAAGAATTAGCCATGCTAGTAATGATTTATTATGACCTAACTAATGTGCAATTAGTCAGGTCAGATCCAGATGAAACCCAATTCCAGTGACCCACAGGGCAGCAATTTGTGTGCAGTACATCATCACTGTATCCCAAGTGACTGGCAGCAATGACCTGAGAAAGACAGAGGCACCAGCCATGGATCAAGTGGCTCAACACCTCCAACAAGATAGGGAAAAAAAGTCTTGCTCCCTGATATATATATGGAGCAGTACCTCAGCTTTTAACAGTAATCATCCTTTTGATCAAGAGGAAGGATGTAGAAAGTACACACACAGCAGGCTACCCTTCAGTTTTACCTGTGGGACCACAGATAGGACATGAAGAAGTGGGATGGAAGTGAATAATGGCATTCATTACATCTGCATTGGAGGACTCCCAGTATGAAAGATTCAGACACAGTCAGGTTAAACTTCCAGAACAAAACAATATAAATGAACTTAGCTGCAGCAGCTATTAGTGCTCAGTTGACAGAAAATGCAAAATAACTCTACTCAGCACTCTTTCTTAAGATTGACCTTAAAGAATAACTAATAACAACTTGCCTCCAGTAGGTTTGCTGCAATTTCTCCCTATGTAAAAGTTTTGGGTTACCTTCAAAGCACACATGGAAAACAACTACTATTTGAACTGGTGAACTGAAATCACTGATGATCTATGATAAAATCAGTACAATTGCATAAAAGCAGTGGAAACAACAAACAAGACATTGAATCCAAACTGACATCCAGAAAGAAAGCTGTTACCTAACAAAAAAGAAAAGAACCCACTGTGGCAATGTTAACATAACTCATAATCCGCTTATGGAATTTTTTTTTGTTTTAGGTCAAATGCTGATCTAAACAAACTAGACTCTTTGTAACTGAACTTCTAATTTAGAAAATCAGTTAATTCATGCCATACTCACTCTGTAATCTCTTACTGAGCAATATTGTTTAAAATTCAGCTAGAATTTTGAATCAAGGACTTGAATCACACCCCGTTTTTACCCTCAATATTACTGCAGGACAACAGCGATAGGACACACTGCATTTTGCTGACAGCATAGCAGTGCCTCTACCAGATTAGTTACACAGAGCAAGGACTTTGATTTTCTATATTGAGAAGAGTAAATGAGACACTTTCCTTGTTAAATTAGGTTACTGTTTAATCTCAACAGCATTTTACCAAGTCTGGAACACAGTGCTAATTAAGTTAGTTAATACTGAATTTGAACAAGACATTGGTAGACTAAACTTCCATAAAGATAATAATGTCACACTAAACTTGGCAAAGACAAGCCATTTGTATAAGGCAACACATAAGTGATGATGAAAGTAAGTAATTCAACTTTAGACAACAAGAAAGGTGGGAGTTTCTTTGATGTTATTCCACTGTGAAGAGTTTGTAATTAACTTAGATTTAATAACTAAATTGCATCCTCTGTATAAAGCTGTGAAATGAAAATATTTTCCTTTAATGAAGAATACTACTTAAAGAATAGGGCTGGTTGTGCTAAGTACTGTATGAATGTTTCTGATCATGTTGTTTTGTTTGCTCCCCCCTGCTCACTTTTTCACTTGCTGCCTGTGTTCCCAAAGCTTCCCAGAGCCACCCTAAGCAGAAGCCTGCTGACCAACCTGTGACCTGTTAGGTCACAATACCTGTGGCCTAGCATAGACCAACATTCCAGCCTTGGGCCACTTTCTTGACAGAGGATGGCTGAGAAGGCTTTTACTGAGTATTAGGATGGCTTGGCATGAGAGGGATGCAGTAGGTACAAGCTACTTGAAAAAGAAAGGCATATATCCAGTTTTGTCTGCAGTTTCCAAATGATAAATTCCATACCTGACAGAAGAACAGAGACAATGTTTATAAATGCAAGCACTTTATGGTTCCAGCAAAAGCAATTTCTTCAAGTTTATCTTGAAATCTTTGAACTAGACAGGGGTATCTGCATCACAGAAAAGAAGTAGGCCTGAGATGAACATGTCATCTTACACTGCAATGTCTCACCTAGGCCACCTATACATCTGAACTGTAAATTCTTGGACTGAAAGAAACTATTGCTGAGAACTAAACAGGGGCAGAGAGTCACAGGCTCCTCCATGACAGCACAATAGTAGCACAGGCTTTCATAATTTGACAGGTTTTGTAATACAGGCAAGAATAGAAATTACTACTTCTATTTTTATAGACCTGTTATAAACCTGTCCAATCAGAGGAAATGCAATGATTTTAGTATTTATTTCCAGTAGTATACACAAAATACACCACACTGCAAAAACTCACAAGAAGTATCCAAGTTCACAAGATTAATGTTCCATTCTCTGAACACCCAACTGCTTACTCCTTAAAGATACTCCATTAACCTCTAAAAAAAGTCTACAATTTTCTTGAGCACTCTTTGCAAATGCAGTAAAAATAATTCAAACCTACAGCTCCAGGAACCTGAAAAGAGAAGCTCAGTTTTGATGTAAGATATTTCAAAATTTGCAGTAATTAAAATGGAAGGTTGGCACGTTCAACTGTTGCAAAACATTCTGTGTGAGTAACATTAGTCTCTCAGGAAATATTTTTTAATCAGTCACCAGACTACTTTGCAGTTTTATTACTGAAAGTCACCAAAAAATGCCAGAATCAGCAGGATTTTTCAAATTACTTCCAAGAAAGCAGAACTCAGACTTTAGGCAGTAGGTCTTACCTGAACATTGCTTTTGGGATAATAGAAGAAAAATGGCTTCAAAACTGGAGACCTAGACACACAAAACAACAAGCATAAATGCATTTACCTAGAAATTAATGAAACTTGCAGATCATACACCTTCGGACTATTCATACACCAAACACATGGGAAATTAAATCCATTCAACCATGTCTAGTAATGGTTTTTCAACAAACTTTGGAAAGCTTGAAGAGTGTAAAAACTCCTTAAATTCCATTATTAGGAATGTAAGATTTTGTTTCAAAAACTGAAGAAAATTTTACTGAGGGAAAGTAGGCGAAACAGCAAAAATATTTTCTTGACAAAGGATGTTCTTCTTGACATTGAAGTCTACTACACTGCCATTAGCCCCACACTGATACCTAGGCCAGCTACACAGGGCTACTGGAAATACAGCCACAGGTTCTTCTCCCACCTTCATGTGCAGTATTTGCTAAATGACAGGAAAGTTTTAGATGAATAAGCATCAAAAGGTGAGGCTATAAATCAGCACAAGATTTTAGCCATATCTAGAAAGAAAGTGAATCAAGCCACTTTTTCTAAACATGTTCAATATTGCTGTGTTCAGTTCAGTCATGAAATTGTTTCATGCTAAAATTTTGTGGGATATTTTTGCATTTGACCTTACATTTCTAGGTGAAGTGAACTCATACAAATGTAAATTTGGTGGGCCCATATTCCAAACTACCAACTACAAGAGAAAACTGGTCCAGAAATTTGCATGTATTAATGTGATTGAGCTAGTGCCTTGCCACAAAGACACATTTCAAGCTTTCCCTACAGCTCATTAAGCAAAGACATTGCTATAAGCTGATCAGAAACCTAAGTAACTCACATTTAATTCAATAAAGAATTTTACTATTTTCATACATATCCTGTTATCAGTTATTAAGCACAGTGACACGGAAGGATTTAGTTGCTTCTGTGGCTTCTGTCCCAAGCTGGGGAAGCTTGTGATGGTGACTGGTAGGAACATTATAATCACACATTACAACAAGTTAATGGTCAGGAGTTAACTTACACTCTGGGGCGCCCTCCAACAATTGCAGTGAGGCCAGGGGCTGGAAAAGGAAATTAAATTCACAAAAGAATGGTTAAAGCCTTCTTCAAAACATCAGAGCTTGCAGCTTACCATAGCTTGAATTGATCCATTTTTAATAATTGCAGGGAAATCTCTGCATTTATTACATACATTCCCATAAATTGATAAAACTGAACATTTTATACAAGTTAAAAGGCAAAACACGTAACTGTGAATTTTAACAAAAAAAAATTTAAATGTGCAAAGTGTGAACTAAACCTTTAAAATCTTCTTCCAAATACTTTGTATATAAATGCCAGGGAGGTAACACATTTGATAAAAAAGAACTTTGCCTTAGTTTTTTTGTCATTCTTGTTTTATTTACTTTCAAAGAAAGCAGAGAAAAAATTCTGATGAACCATGGTTTCTTTTAGTATTTAATGACTTTGCTCGTGTAGATTAACTGTTAAATTTGAATCACTCTCTCTAGCCTTTAAACTAATTTTGCTTTTTTAAGGTGCTGAGTAGTGCAGATCCCATTCTCTCTCTGTGGTACAGAGGCAATTCAGGAGTTCAAGGCACGAGCCCAGATCTGTGGTAAGTCAGCACTGTATTATCAGGTTGCCAGGCTCTGTCATTAAACCCATCTGCCCAGCTCAGTATTTCTGAAAGAAACAGTTCTGCTCTCCTCATCCTGAGTATAGCTGCTCACCCTTCTGTCTGGCATGGACAGCAGGAACACATGATGCATCAGAGCTCCAAACAGGAGGGGAAAGAAACAGTAAAACGCATACATTACATCAGCCTAGGAATTAATTAACAACTATGTTAAGCAGTCCCTTTAAAAGAAGTGCTGTGGAAAGCTGTCCACATGGTATATCTGGCCAAGTTAATTCTGGCTAAAAAGGGCTTCAGACTTTCTGCAGGTGTGAATGCTCTCAGTTAGTGCTCCAAGCAAGCTAAAGGCCAGGTAACTGTGCTTTTGTGATACTAGAGCTAACAGTGATGAGCTGTACTCCACAGCAGGCTGCTTTAGCTTGGATTCAGTGCCTTGTCAATGTGGACACATACTAGTGGCAGCACAGATTACACAGCCTTGCCATACTCATGCTCATCAGAAGCAACTTCCCCTAAAAAGTCTATAATGTTTTACAGTACACAGAAAAAAAAACCTTCAAAAGAAACAGCATCACAAATAACCATCTCCTGCTCACTACGTACTGCTAAAAAGAAATGTGGTGGCAGACAGAAAACAAAAGAATCCCTTACGTAAGTATTACACAATTTTAAATAATCCAGTGAGGTTTCAGCCCTATATATCTTACCTGTGCAATTATTCAAGCAGAACTGCCACTCAGCAACAAAACCAGATGCAGAGATTTTATTGAATTATGTGCCTAGTTTGTTTATTTAGGTTGCTGGGGAAGGAGGGTGGATATGGTAAGGTCAAGTTGAAAATATGGGTCCATAAAGCTAGTTACATTATCTGTGGATGTCATACGGGTCACTTCCTGCTAGGCAGCTGAACTGCTCATTAAGGATACCAGAGTTTGCTCCAACATCAATTTCAACTTCCTGAAAGCTTTTAAAGAAAGCTCTTCATTTGCTTGCTTTCACACAAGGGATCTTGACTTCTACAACGAAGTAGTTCTCAACAAAGACAAGAAAACAGTCCAAGTAAAAGCAACAATTGCTCACACCTTGACGCTAGGATAACCTTCTTCTGCTGGTCTTTCTGAAGTTCAGGAGCACAAGCTACTGTAACAGCATATCTGTCTTTGGAGCTACCACAGCTATCCCTACAACTGTAGAGCAAAGTTATACCTTTGTGCAAAACTATAATAGTGTTGCACCAACATCCTAATGCAACAGTATTAAGTTCTATGCTATGATTATTGTTTATGTAAATATAAATATGATGGAAGCAATATAAAGTCAAATTTAATTTTTATCTATATGAAATTCCTAGTTAGGTCTCAAGCAGAGAAGACAAAGCAAATCTTCATTTACTGATTGTAAGCCACAACCAGTTTGTTAATTCTGTTAACAGCAAACGAGCACTACACCTCACCTCAACCGAGGTCTCAGATTCCTAATACGTTCCTCCAGTAAACCAAAAGAAGGCAATGGAAGGTGTAGTACAACCAAGAAATAATGAACCTTGTCACTGTGTTTAGATCTACCTTCTGCTAATTAAATAGGATTGCCTTGGATGTCCCCAAGAAAACTTATAAAAATATCTCTTCATACTGGAATTTATGCTTATGTTGCATTGCCTGTTTAAATATCTGTACAGATGCTCTCCCTCCTTTCTGGAAGGCTTATTTTTATCTACAATAACACAAACAATTTGCCCTACTTGTAGAGAATATCAATCAGTCTCAAATGCAGTCTCAAATCCCTAAGATTCTCAGCTAAATTGAAGCTCTTGATCTATTTTCCCAGAAGCTTCACATGACCACTTTTTGTCATCAGAGCTCCATTCCTTAGAGCCTCAAGGAAGATAAAAATATTGTCTCCTCTGCTACCACTGAACCTCTTGAACATGTTGCTTCACTTCAAGCCAATGAACTCACCACCACTCTCTGCCAGCTTCTGTGCCTCAGAATGGCATAAAACTGATGCACTGCAGATTAGAGTGATTACCTCTAGATGGGAGACCTTCCTTTCAATGCATCCATATCCTGTTCATCTGTAGGTACAGTGTTCTTTTGGTGTCAAACTGAGTACCATGACACTTATTTTGACCCAAAAGCCTTTTATTTTCTCACAGTGGCTGGGGACCAAGCCTAAGAACTACTAATTCTCCAGGTGGCTGGGCATTTTAAACCAATGAGTACTGGGAATTACACCACTGGGATTCCACTGTTTTTATTACCTCCCAAATATATTGCATGGTTGGAAAAACTTAAGGCAGTAAGAATGGTAAATGTACTCCTTTCTAGGTGACTAAGCTCTGGTACGGGACTCTTCCTTCAGACTCTGTGTTTAAAGGTTTAAATCTGCACTGAATCTATTAAATAAATATATTATTAGTTAGAAAGTGCTTTTCTTTCATTAATCTGCACAATTTTTCATACAGTCTTATCCTGTCTTCTCATTTTATGACTCCTTCCTCTAGTCTACTTTATGTCTTACTCATTTTCAGCCCAAGTAGCTTACAAAAACTAAACCATCATCCTCTGTGTATACACGTCCATATAATCAATTATTTGTCAGGTTTTCTTCCTTTGTCCTTTGTTCATGATTGTTTCAGCACATCTGTAGACTCCCACATTTTGGGTCCCATGGCAAATTTGATCGAAATATGAAGGATGGAGAGGAATCTCAAGAATACCAAAGCACACTAACATCCCATGACTGGCACTCCCCTGTGAGCAGAGATGTAGGAACAGATATCCATGTAAATAATACTAGGTGAAGCCCAATCAGGACACAGTCCTTGCTACAAAAGCTTGACAATTTCTGGTTTCCCATGTATGTTTTATCTCTCCAGCTGCCTCTTAATCTTTTTTTATTTTTTCATGCTGTAAAACCGTTCTGTGGATGGACTTGCAAATACAAATTCTTCTAAAAATCCCATATGATGTGCTGAAAAGAAAACATGATAAATTTCATGAGCAGAGGTAGCAAGCAAACTAAAGAGTACTTGGGAAAACCAGTGTTGCCCTCAGTTGGGCAAATTCAGGGGAATGGATCCATTGATAACCAGCCCTGATAAAAGATGCATAAAATTAGCCCAAATAAGCACCTATTTCAATATGCAGAACCACCATCTTCTAATACCTTATAATCTATATCATATATACCACGCCCTGTAAAATGCCCTACAGCAGAAAACACCCTGGTTAGAACTTGTAATCAACCTATGAGATGCAAATTTCCAGCAAAACAAGCCTCGTTCCTTCCAACTCTCATTATTCACCACTAGATTTACAAATGGCAGAAAAGCCAGATGTTTTGCCTCCTTAGTATTCCCTCTATCCTATTCCAATCCTACTTGAATGGTCACACCTAATTTTGGATAATTACTACTTATTCTTTAATCCACTTCTGTCAAAAAAAAAACCCTTCTGTAGAATTCCATATATTTTTCCACAGAATAAAACATTATGCAATATACAAAGGATGCTAGACTGCATGAAGCATTTTGTAAAATGTTTTGGAGTAAAAAAGTATGAAAATGCTCCAACTACTTGTAATCTAAAAAGCTTCAAGCACTTTAAGTTTTATTAAACTTAAGGGCTTTTTTTTGAAGTTTCACTGAATTTCAAGATACAGCAATGTCTCTTGCTGAACAGCTTTCAGCTTTTGACCCTTCCACTTCCAGTGATTGAATCAGCTCAACCAATAGATTATTAATGTATTTATCACACATTCTAAGGAACGAAATAGGTTTTTATAAATAAAACCAGACAAAGTAGTCCACTTGTCAAGCATTATTTTTTTAAGTGATCACACTGGAGAAATCTGAAGTCTCAGGTTTTATACTCAGGAGCTCTTACAATATGGTTGAGCGCCAGTATAAAACGCATACAACCTTTTTTTACAGGGGTCAATTGTACGTTCCTAATTATTCTATCTATGTCCTCTGAAAACAGCAGATCGTTTATCTTCTGCACTATTATTCTCAAAAAAACAGGGACTGCAGTAAACTGCTACAACAAGGACATTTCTAAAAGTATCTTCCAACACACTCAGGACATCAGTCAAAATATTTACATATACTCAAGCACTTTAAAATCTCAAGTTGTATTAACCAGCTGTCATCTTAGTGTCAAACTCCGGTCATTTTAATGTGAAATAAGGGTCAGCACATGATTTCAGCTATTAGTAAAACATTTCTTAGCTACTGAACCCCCGTTAAACTATAAACGCCAGATTCCCACAGTAAGGCTCTTCTTGAACCTCTTCTATACTGCATTTCACTCAGAATAAAGTATCTGAATTAAAGAAGACAACATAAAGACATTGAATCAACAGAAATTATTTAAATTCTAACCATTTGGCTGACTGGACTGTACATAATGAACAGATTTT